ACTTTTGCCCCAGTAATTCTAACTCACTCCTGGTAGGTTAAGTGACAATCACATGTGTAATAGGTGAATAGTTATTTGATCTGATTTTTACATAAAACTAAAATCATAATAAATATTATTTTTTATTGTATGATATATGGGAATGCCTAGTACTTTGGCATTAAATTATATCTAAATTTGATGTTCTTATAATCTTATAAATATAATATATGATAAATATATTCTAAAATATTATTCTGAATTTTGAAATTCTAGAAGGAGTTGCTAAGATGTCATGCCAACATATTTACCTTCACTGACAACATGAATATTCTATACCTTACAATAGCAGAAAACTTTCTTTTTTTTTTTGTTTTTGTTCTTATTTATTTATTTATTTTTAATATATTATTTTACATGTCAATCCCATTTCCCTCTCCCTCTCTCCCCTCCCACCCTCTCTCACTATTACCCTCTCTGCCCTCTCACATGCACCCTAACCACCCTCCCTTCCCATCCCTCCACCCCAATTCCATATGTAGGGCAATGCCATCCAGTTGGGGTCATGTATATCTGACAGGTCATTTGAAGTAGGGACTAGGGCTTCTCTCCTGTCTCTAGGTTAAGGCAGTTATCCCTCCATGGGGGATGTGTTCGCAAAGTCCTTTGTGCACCAGGGATACATCCTGGTTCCACTGTCTGAATAACTTTTCTATCAGCCACAATTAGAATTCAGGCAATTTCTTTAGGCAAGCACTTGTAAAATCAAGATGCTAGGAACAGGAAAAATCAAAATGTCCACATAGTATTTGGCCTGCTTCATCCTTAAAGTATTTGCCGATGTGATTCCAACAGGTGAATGGTTACAAAGCTAAGAAGAAATCTGGCAGTCTCAAAAATAAATAAATAATCAAAGCAAATAAAAGGGAAGGTTTGAGGCTTGGCAGTGAAGGGCATTTGATGTTCTTGCTGAAAAGTAACTGCTGAGTTAGAATTCTGACTTTAGTGAAAATACCTTAATTTTTAAAATTAATTTTATTTACATTAAAACCAACCTTATTTTACATACTAATCCCAGTTCCCTCTCCCCACTATCCTTACATTCTCCCCACCCTCTCCCCATCCCACCACCATCCCTCCTCAGGGAGGGTGAACCTCCCATGGGGATTATCAAAGTCTGTCACATCATTTGGGGCAGAACCTAGGCCCTGTCCCATAGTAACTAGGCTAAGAGAGTATCCCTTCATATAGAATGGACTCCCAAAGCCCATTCCTGCACTAGGGATAAATACTGTTTCTATTGCCAGTGTCCCCATATAGAGAGAGAGTCCAAACCTCTCAACTGACACCCATGTTCAGGGGGGCCTGGATCGGTCTTATGCAGGTTCCCCAATTGTCAGACTGAGTCCATGATATCCCACTTGTTCGGGTCAGCTATTTCTGTGAGTTTATGGAGCATGTTCTTGATCCCTTTGCTCATCACTCCTCCCTCTCTACAACTGGATTCCAGGAGTTCTGCTCAGTGGTTAGTTGTGAATTCTGTTTCTGCTTCCATCAGCTACTGGGTGAAGGCTCTAGGATGGCATTTGAGGTAGTCATCAATCTCATTATAGGGGAAGCACATTTTAGGTAGCCTCTTCGCTATTGATTAGATTCTTAGTTGGGGTCATCCTTGTGGATCCCTGGAAATTTCCCTAGTGCCAGGTTTCTCCTTTAGCCCATAATGGCCCCCTCTATAAAGATATCATTTCCTTGCTCTCTTCTGTTCTTCTGCCAACTTGACCATACTGCTCACTCATGTTCTCCTCTCCATACCTCTTCTCCCCTTCTCTTTCTCCTAACTCCTTCTCCCCCCCCTCCCAGAGTGCTCCCAATTTACTCAGGAGATCTTGTCCCTTTCTCCTCCTCCTCAGGGGGATCCATGTATGCCTCTCTTAGGGTCCTCCTTGTTTCCTTTCATCTTGGGTTGTGGATTTACACTGGTAATCCTTTTCTCCATGTCTAATATCCACTTATGAGTGAGTACATACCATGCTGTGTCTGGGTTACTTCAATCAGGATGGTTTCTTCCATATCCATGCATTTGCCTGAAAATTTCAAGATTCTTTTTTTTTTTTTTTTTTAAACCACTGAGTAGTACTCCACTGTGTAAATGTACCACATTTTACTTATCCATTTTTTTCACGTGAGGGGCATCTTGGTTGTTTCGAGGTTCTGGATATTACAAATAATGCTGCTATGAACATAGTTGAACAGAAATCCTTGTGGTATGAATGTACATCCTTTGGGCATATGCCTAACAGTGGAATTGCTGGGTCTTGAGGTAGATTGATTCCCATTTTCCTGAGAAACTGCCAATTTGATTTGCCAAGTGGCTGTACAAGTCTGCATTTCCACCAGCACTGGGGCTTCGCTAATCTTCTCTGTATTGTTACAATTATGGTATATGTGCTACTGAAGCAAGCATGTATTCCCACCAGCAGTGGAGAAGTGTTCCCCTTTCTCCACATCCTCTCCAGCATAAACTGTCATTGGTGTTTTTTATTTTACTGACAGGTATAAGATGGTATGTCAGAGCTGGTTTGATTTACATTTCCCTGATGGCTAAGGATGTTGAGCAATTTCTTAAAAAAACAAATCTATTTATTGTGTGTATAGTATGTTGCCATGTTCATGCCATGGTGTATTACTAAAAACTAAAGGACAGCTTACGAGGGCTGGTTCTTTTCTACCATGTAGATCTCAGGGACTACCTATGTCCCCAGGATTGACAAGAAATATCTTTACACAACAAACCAGCATACTGCCCTAAAACATGTTTGAAAAACCACTACTGAGGTTTTAATTTTAACCACTGAGAATGCTGAAACAGGAGAATGGAAACCTGTATTTTGATATGTAACACACATTCATGAACAGTAAAAGAGGGGCTGTTAAATAGATGCTTGCTCAACATGAGCAAGGCCCTATGATGAATCCCAATATGAGTGAGAAGGGAACACTGACTGACAAGGAATGAATGACGGTGCATCATGGCCATGAGTGCTTCAAGGATAGAAAGCAATGAAGGGGTGGTTATTCCTTTAGAAAGAGACCTGACAGATGCCAAGATGGAATCACCACCTGTACAATAGATGACTGCACACCAGTATGGTTCTGTTTGTGATGATAGTAAATCAGACAATGAATATTTAGGGATTACACACACAATTATGTCATATAATTAATGGTGATATTAACATATTTTCAGGTTCCTCTTTAAAAGGCCAATCTCCTTTTACCATGCCCTATGAAAAAAAAGTGTACCAGCGAAGCTCTCTTTAGTTTCATTTAAAAAATTTCTTTACTTATCATTTTTTGATGAACATATGGGCTTAGAAAGTATATGCAAGGTAAATAGGAGCATGCTAATTTGATAGTTTAATATTGGTCAAAACTTAAAAGTATCTCTATATCCAGTAGATTTCTAGAGAATATTTGGTAAAATTCTGCTATGACTTGAAAAAACAATTGCTGCTCTAAATTTTCTTACAGCACAACCACAATTTTCTATGCTGGAAATTAAATTTGTAAAACCCAATGTACATCCCCCAGACAGTTAATTATACATTGCTGGAAACAATTTGAGCAGCTGAAATAATTTTGTATCAGTTGTATTTATAAATCCCAGGAGAAAAGCTACTCAATGCAGAATGGCTAAATCCAAGGTACCACTCCTCTAAAGGTCACCCATCTGCCCCACCTTCTCCCAAGCAGAAACACTTGCTTGGGAGTCCTATTACCACCTACCCCAACCATACCACCATACCTATTCAGTGTTCTACACCTTTGTTAAAATGCATGGTACTTACTTGTTTATTTATAATTTCCTACTCCTCTCACCAGTAGACTCAGAGAATTTCAGTTTTATCCATCTTGAGTTGCAATATTGAACACAGGCATATTGATCATGCAGAATTTTTCTGATTATTCTGTATAACCACATCATCAAATTTGGCAAGATACAGCTTCCTTTAAATGATACTGCTTACCAGCACAGAAGGAAAGGAAATGGATATATGCTGCCGTAGTATTAATATACCAAGCGACTGGTAGGCTCATAAATGTGTGTGTGTGTTTTGCTTATTTCTAAGTTTTTGCAGAATATTTAGAAGGAAAGATGTTCTTGCTGAATCCACTCTCAGATTGCTAAATACATTATTAGTAGAAATTCATTTTCTTCTATGTATATTTTTGTTATCATTCTATGCCTGCCTGGCACGAAAAGGTGTTTTATTAAAGCCATTGCTTCCTATGCTATTGAGTGTGTGTCCTTATTTAGGCAAGTTACAGTCTCTACCATTCTACTATTAAACCTGATTTCAGTATTAGAGAGTTAGATGCTGAGAAATCACTTGGGGGAAAGAATCAAACTTTGTTGATCTGGATTTGATTATTTTCCATTTCACTTAGAACTTTTTACCAATTGTGATAAAATGCTGACCAATGAACTTATTCATCACTGAGGACAGGCATGGGACTGCTCACAAGTCTTATATTAAAAAGGGCCAATAAAAAACATTTGATTTTATCGAGTATTGACAGAATTTTTTGCCATTACTTTAATTTCTGCCTCAGATAAGAGATAAAACATTTTTCATTAGAGGACATTGGGTTGACTGATAATTAAACATCCCAAACAAGATGTGCACAAATCACTGTTTTATTTGACATCACAGTTCACAGTTCTTCCTATCTGGCAGTCACTGTTCTGTGGATACCATCATTTACAGTACAATCACTATCCTTATATGCATAATGTGTGGTTTTCCCTGTTCTGTCCTAACATTAAAAGACACACATTAATTTTAAATATGTTTCAGCATCAGGCTTCAAGGAAAAAAATCTCATCAATAACTGTGTACAACATCTTCCAGTTTACCTCCTTTAATACATATAGGTAGAATGCTTTCACGTTCTCCAAGGCTGGCATTGTTTTGGTGATAAACAATATGGAATTAAACAAAACACACAGTCTTCTGTCATTTAATACTGTTTAATGTTGAAAATCTTTCTTTGAAATTCCAGACTACCTTAAAGATACACAGAGGTCCCTTGCTCTGCATCACTGGAACATCTCTTTGATAGGAGGCTTCTAGTGTCTGCAGCTCCTCCTATGCTGGGCCTGTCAGGCAGTCACTCCTCACTGGTATGGACTGGAAATCGCTCTGGAGGAAGCACAGATTCCAGTCTCTGCCAGCGCTCTGGAGGCCACAAAATATGTGTGGCATGGGCATGTAGAAGTCCCAGAGAAACCTGAATCCAGGGGGAACACAGAGACAGCAACAAAGAAATGATTTCATACTGACCATTATAAATAGCTTGAACACCATATTTGATTCAGGTCTAACATCACGGAAAGACTGGGCTTAAAACACAGAAAACACTTAGTGGCATTTTTCCCAAGGGCTTGATAGGTGTCAGCTACTTGAATCTTCATAACAGTCACTCGAGGGAATTATGGTTTTAACTTTCTAGAACAGGAACTGAGTTTAGAGAAGTTTAAACAGTCATGTACATACAATGCATTGGAACATGGCTTTAATACTGAGCTGCTTCCAACATTAACGTCCACGCTCAACAGTTTGTGGGCACAGACCCAGGAAACACAAATCCAGTTTATAGTCTTGGGTGTCCTCTAGAGCTATTGCCTGAGAGAGATTTTCATAAAACAGTAATAGAGACCCAAATGCATATTTATATCTTAAAACATTGTTCCATTTGATAGATGAGCAATCAGGTGTGATTCTGAATGGAGACTGCTTCCAAGGAGAGTCACTAAGCAACATGGACAATTACTTAGGGAAAGGAGGAGAGCTCAGAGCAAACAAAGTGGAAGACCGATAGAGAGAAAGCAACAAGATCATAGCCAATTGAAAACAACAACATTTATAGAGATGAACAGTGCTCTGCTGGGAGAGAAGAAACCAGAAACACTATAAGTTAAATATAGATTAGAACAGCTCAAAGGAGAGCAAAAAGCCCTGGGGACTTGGGAATAGTTTCTTTCCTTCTAATAGTTCTGCAAATAAAACTTAAAAATAAGTACAAAATTGGTTCTGTCCAACAAACACCACCAGTTACCCATGCTTTGCTGCAGTAACTCTCTCTCAGTTCATGTCTACACATGTATCAACATGTACATTATACTTACCTACATACACATCAACATATTCATTATAACTGTTAGCATACATATCAACATACACATTAATACTTGTCTACACATATATCAACATATACATTATACTTGTCTGCACACATACCAACATATACATTGTAATTTTACACACATATATTAATATATACATTATACATATCTGCCACACATCAACATAGACATTATACTTGTTCATATACACATCAATATATACATTGTACCTGTCTGCACACACATTGATGTATATATTATACTTATCTGCACACACATCAATGTATACTGTTTTCTGAGTCCTTTGAAAAGCTTCTAATAACCTATGGAATTTATACCTAAATACTTCAAAATATATCTAAGAACTAAAGCCCTTTCTCACATAAGCACATTACCACTGTCATATGCCAAGTAGCTCATATTAATAAAGTAATAAAATTCATATACTGCCTATATACAACATATTCAAGTTGCCCTAGTGAAAGTCTTTTGAGTCATGTATTTTCAAAATAAATTGTCTTGTGAAGGATCTCAGACTATGCTTACTGTTATGAGGCTGCTTCTATTATCAGTTCATTTACTTTACCCAGGGTCCAGGACACTAACTTGTACCATGCCCTATAGCTTAACTTGCCTGAGTTTTTCACTCTTGGAGAGACAAAAGGTAAATGTTTTGGCAAGAAAAAAATGCAGTTAACACTGTATTTTCCCAGCTCTGTTTGATCAGGGGCCATGAAATATCCGTTCCCCGAACTACTGAAATATGAAGTTTAATAGCTCAAGGTGAGGGTGACCCAATATCTCTATCAGTTAATAAACATTTTCATTTTCATATAACAAATAATATATGGGGATATTTAGAAACATTATAAGCATCCTGTATGTCAAGTACAATTCATCAAATTGTTTTATTGTACATCACTATTGTGCCTTAATTATTTGCACTGAAGATTATTAAAAAGCAATTTTCATCTACTATTTCTTTTATAATTTCAGTTGCCAATTTCTTCATAAGGACATATTTTCTCTTAACATTAACTGCTGTATTTTTGTTATTTATTTGCCACATATACAGTTATGTCATATGGTATGTATGCATGTGTGTGGTTTTTGAGATAGGGTCTCACTTTGCAGTCCAGGTTAGCCTGTAACTCCATTATCCGGTCATACTCAGACTACACTGTTACTCAGTGAAATCCTCCTGTCACAACCTCCTGTGTGCTGGCAAGGCTTCCTTTTTTTGTCCTGTTTGCTTTACTTCCTTCCTTCCTTCCTTCCTTCCTTCCTTCCTTTCCTTCCTTTTTTTCTTATTTTAAGTCAAAACCCATTCCTATCTTCTGCTTGTTTGTAGGATGCTTGGATATCTTAGGTTTGGTCAGTGGGATTCTGTGTGTCCCTTAGATATATCACCTTCAATCTTTAAGCTAATTGTCAGTTTTGGGTACCACAGGATATTTCAGGCTCAACCTGGAGCTCATACCTGTTCTATGTATAATTAGATATTTCCCTCAGGTGCAAAGAGTGTCATTCAAAAGCAACATCTGGTACTAGATGTGCTGATGGTCTTGAGTGTGAAATTAAGAAATACATTCATAGATAAGATAACAGCATCCAAAAGCTGCCCTTCACCTATCACCTTTATATTTTATCTCATTTCATCCATAGTGACTGGGTGGTTTCCCCAAACATTTAAATACTTATTTGCATGACTCTAAATATATATAAAAATAGTTTCACCATAACTATACTATAATTTGTACCTATAATGAATTTACTGAGTAAAAATCAAGTTTTCTTGGCAATCATTTTGTTACTTGAATTAATACATTTTCTGTTGCCAATGTTTTCATCCTACAATCCTGGTGAGTTATAAAGTTCACTGTGGCTCATGTTTCTGGAAGTGTGAAGTGGAGGGTATACAAATGGTGACAGTCTTTATCCTGATGGCCTCCAGATGTGAAGCTGGGAGCATGCATGTGTACACACATCTGTCTGGTTCCCTCTTTCCTCTGATAAATCCTCTAGGATTCTGTCATAGAACCCCTACTCTAAAGCCTTTATGTAATATTAATCACCTCTCAAATGCCTCACCTTCCAACACCTAGGTTCCCATCTTTCCAGTACTTTACAACAAAAGGAAACAGCAGTGTAAATCCCTGGGGCAGACTATTCTTTCCATAACAGCTTAAATACATTTTATTGTAAGGATGTTGGCTGTGTTCACAGTTGGTTTTTCCCTCCCAAGTGAGTCATGTTTTCAATTTATAAGCAGGTTCATTTGTTTCTACTTACATTCAGTATTAATGTTTTTAATTTATTTTATTCAGTCTGAATATGTCCAAAAGTCAAAATTACTTTTTAAATAAGGAAACTTTCTCCTCTTTCTTAATGATGTTCATATCCGAATCACTAGCTAGATGTTTATAATCTGTTACATTACAGAGTCAATCAGAATTTGGGTTAATAATCAATTGACTTCAGTAGCATACTGAAGTGTGAAAACTGGGTAGGCTGGAACACATACTAGAACACCCTAAAAGTCATGGCAACAAGGAGTGGGAAGAGGACTCATACAGGTAGGTGATTGCCAAATAGGTGTGAAGACCTCAGAGAAATTCTCATCACCCCACTAAGAAAAAAGTCTAACTGTGATAGCATGTACCTCTAAAACCTACTCTGGAATGTAGAGGCAGGAGTATCCTGACAAGCTCACTGGCCAGTCTGACAAGCTGAGTAGATCTAGGTGAATGTGCAAGGCACAAGCTTTATGTACACTGAGAGATCCCATCTCAAAAAATAAGACAACTGAGAAAGACAATCAGTATCAACTTTTAGCTCCTATAAACATGCTCACTCATGTGCATGCACACCCCATGCAGAGTCACACATGAACACACACACACACACACACACAGAACCATGCCAACAATGTTACCAGCTAGGAAATACTTCACCTCCTATCAGATTGCACTTCTTGTCAAACTTTGCTCGAGTCTAGGTCCAGCTGAGATAGACAACATGGTCTCCATTTCCTCCATCATAACCCATTTTAGGTTGATAGCAGCAACTCAGATGTATCTCAAGCACTGACTTGCTTTTCCAAGCTGTTTAACTTTTATCATAGGGATGATTTGCCAATGTTTTAATTCGGCTGAGCTGTTGCCAATACATTTGCTTGCTTGCTTAGTTTGGAGCTCAGTTTTAGAAGCAGTCATTTATTTCTGTTTTTATACTCCACACTCATTTTACTGAAACTAATCTCATTAGGGTTTTTTGTTGTTGTTGTTGTTGATGTTCTGAAAATATATTAAATGTGTCATTCCTACTTCCTGAAAGAGTTAATCTTAAAAATTATGAACAGCAATGGTAAAAATTCTTGGGGATAATACCAATATTACTTAAAATGGTGATATAGGAATGTGGAAGTCAAGCTTTAAAAGTATTAAGGTTAATATGTACAGAAAATGTTTATTCACTTGCAATGTCTTTTTAATTTTTTTTATTGATAAGCATCTACAGACAAGTAGAGAATACAATGAATACACAAATGCCCAAAATTAAAATTATATGAAGTTTTTAAAATTAAAAGTTAGGTGCTGGGCATAGCTTTTGTTATATTAGGGAGGATCTTTAGATAAATGGTACAGGATTCATACACACAAGGAAATTTATCTTAAGTAGCACATGTGATCAGAGAGATTTGGCAAATGCAAAATCTGGCCTGAGAGGCTAGCAGAACGGAGAACCAGGGAAAGGCTGCAGCTCAACTCAAAGGTAGTCAGTGGGGAGGCTGGGACAGCTGAGGAAGTAGAGAAGTTCAATGTGCTTCCTTGTTCTCTTCTTGGCCTGCATACCTCAGTCTACTGCTATACTCAGGCTTGCAACTGACTTGAGGAGGCCCCACTCTCATTATGGAAGACAGACAGACTGTCTCATCAAAAAACAAAACTCATCTAGAGTATTATTTGACATCACATCTGGGCACTGTGACCCAGCCAAAGTGACACACAAAATCAAACATAATCATCACCCATGCCCTTTGCTTTTTTCCACGTTACACTTAGTGACACCAAAAGGCAGTGTTTTGCATGACTTACACATATGA